GTCCTCTTTGAAATCTGAATGGATTCATGATTCTGGTTGTACTTTGCATGCCACTCCTAACAAGGACTGTTTCTCCTCATTGACTTTGTTTGATGGGGGAAAGTTATGTTAGGAGATAATACTGCTTTAGATATTAAAGGCATTGGTAATGTTCCTTTGAGAATGTTTGATGGTGTTGTTAGAGTTGTGCAGAATGTTAGGTGGGTTCCATATTTGAGAAGAAATTTACTTTCTGCGTCCATATTTGATGAGATGGGTTGTAGTATCATTACACAGGTTGGTGTTAAGATAGTCTCCAGAAATGGGACCAATCTTATTAAAGCTAATAAAAAGGGAGGTTTATATATTGTTGAAGGTACATCTGAACTTAATCTTGTTGCCCCTGTCCCTAAAGATGCTATTAAAAAACAAACTGAAATATGGCATAAGAGGTTGGGCCATATCAGTAATGGGGGTTTGAGTAAACTGTTTAAAAATGGATTTATTGATTTTAAACCTAACCCTATTGATCTTTGTGAAAACTGTATTTTTGGAAAGCAAACCAGATATTCCTTTGGTAATTCTACTTATGCTGCTTCTAAACCCCTAGAATTAGTTCATGCTGATTTATGGGGGCCTTCTAAAGTTGGAACAATAGGAGGTAGGAAATACTTTCTCTCTTGTTGATCACTTTTCAAGAAAAGTATGGGTATATTTACTGAAAACAAAGGATGAAACTTTTAAAAGTTTTAAAAATTGGAAGAGCTTGGTTGAATCTCAATCTAATTTTAAACTGAAGTCTTTGAAGACTGACAATGGACTTGAATTTTGCAATACTACTTTCAATGATTTTTGAAAAACTAATGGGGTTAAAAGACTTTTAACTGTCCCTGGAACCCCTCAGCAGAATGGTACTGCTGAGAGGATGAACCGAACCCTACTTGAAAAAGCTAGGTGCATGTTATTTGAATCTGGTCTTAAGAATTCTATGTGGGGTGAGGCTGTAGTAACTGTTGCTTACTTAATAAATAGATCACCATCTTCTGTGGTGAACTTTAAAACTTCACAAGAGATGTGGTCTGGAATAAAACCTAACATTACTCATTTGGGACCCTTTGGGTGCACTGCCTATGCGCATGTGTCCCAAGGTAAGTTGGAACCTAGGGCAATTAAATGTGTAATGATAGGTTACCCTGAGGGTGTTAAAGGTTATAAGCTTTTAGTTATTCAACCAGGAGCTTATAAATGCCTTGTGTCCAGAGATGTTGTGTTTAATGAAGTTGAATTCCATTATAAGAAAACTAACACTCCTTTAAGTGAATTGACAGGTGATTCTGATGGAAACTTTTTTGATCCTCTGGAAAATGATGATCTGTCTGATGAGGATTATGACAGTGGAGTTTTCCACAATGCCAATGATGATCATTCATTATCTGGGAATGATTTGAATGATTCATCTGAAGGTAATGTGAATTCTAATCAGAATACAGATCAACAAGGTAATACCTCTCCCTCACTCAATGACTCTGAAAATCTGCATGATGTTCATGTTCAAAATGATATGCATATATCTGATTCTTTAGATGCTTCATCAAATGAAAATTCTAATGACTTTGTTGAACCAAACTTAGCTGATTATCAACTAATAAGAGATAGAGAACCTAGGACAATTATTCCTAATAGGAAATATATGTCAAACCTTGCTGAGTTTGTGTTGCTAGCCTCGGAAGTAGTTAAAAACTATGTTCCTGATACCTTTGATCAAGCTATTAGAAGTTCTAAGTCAAATGATTGGTTTAAGGCAATGCAAGAAGAAATGCAGTCCATGTTTGCAAATCAAACCTGGTCTCTGGTCCCTAAACCTAAGGGTGATAAAGTCATAGATTGTAGATGGATTTATAGGATGAAAGATAGTCTTGATCCCATTGAACCACCTAAGTTTAAAGCTAGGTTAGTTGCAAAAGGTTTTAAGCAAAAACAAGGGATTGATTTCCAAGATATTTTTGCTCCTGTGGTTAAATTCAAAATTCTAATACTTTTACTTGCCATGACCACTGTTTTTGACTGGGAACTTGAACAAATGGATGTAAAAACTGCCTTTTTACATGGAGATATTATCGAAACCATTTATATGTCTCAACCACCTGGTTTTATTTGCAAAAATAAACCTGATCATGTCTGCTTACTTAAGAAATCAATTTATGGATTAAAACAGTCCCCAAGACAGTGGAACTTGAAATTTAATGTCTGCATGTGTGAATTGGGATTTCTTAGAAGCAAATATGATATTTGTTTGTACTTTAAGCATGTGGGTACTGAAAATGCCTTGTATGTTCTGCTATATGTTGATGATATCCTTCTTATTGGTTCTTGTAAAATGTTGATTGTAAGTGTGAAAAATGATCTTAAATTGCATTTTGATATGAAGGATATTGGCATTGCTAAAAGAATTTTAGGAATCGACATATTAAGGAACAGATCTGAAAGAAGCATGTTTTATCTCAATGTGATTATCTTTCCAAGATATTAGATAAGTTTAATATGTCTAATTCGAAAATGACACCTATTCCTTTAGGAGGGCATTTAGATTTACATAGAGATCCTTATCCTATATCTGTGGAAGAATCTGGAAAAATGGAAAATGTGTCTTATGATGTTGCTTCTGGATCACTGATGTATGTTATGTTTTGTACTAGACCTGACTTAGCTTTTGCTATAAGTGTTCTTAGCAGGTTTATGTCTGACCCTAAGGAAAGACATTGGACTGCTATGAAATATACTTTGAGATACTTGTCTGGGACTAGAAATTTAGGACTGAAGTACAATTCTGACAAATCTTTAAACCTAAAAGGTTTTGTAGATGCTGACTATGCAGGGTGTAAAGACTCAAGGAAGTCTATTACTTCCTAGTTCTTTACTTGGGCTGGAAATTGTATTTCCTGGAAGTCCCAGTTGCAATCTGTTGTAGCCCTGTCATCCACAGAGGCTGAATACATTGCAGCCACTGAAGCTTTTAAAGAAGCCAAATGGCTTATGGGCATTCTGGGTGAAGTTTTAGGAAAAAATGTGACCCCTATTGTTTTTTCTGATAGTCAAAGTGCCATTTATCTTTGTAAAGATCTCATATATCATGAAAAATCTAAACACATAGATGTTAGATTTCATTATATAAGGGATGAAATTGCAAAGGGAAATGTTTCTATTGAAAAGATTGTTGGAGATGTTAATCCTGCTGATTTTGATACTAAAATTGTCCAAACTGATAAGTTCTTATTCTGCAGGAAATTCTTCAAGATCTTTGAGGTACCTTGAACTATAGGTCCCTGAATTGGGTTAATGATGAATGGTGTGAGACCTGGTTCCATATTCCAACAAGCTGGCTATGATGATACCTTATAACTAAGATGATGTGAGAATGAGTCTTAGGAGGGCAAATTGTTGAGATTAGTAATCCTAATTCTCTAATTATTTCCTAAGTTTTACAATTTTAGATATGATGGCAAAGCAATCTATTATTTGTATTATGTTTTTTGGGCTGGGCTTAGAACTCTTTAAATTGTTCTTCTTCCCTTTCTTGGTCTCGGGTTATTTACTGGGCTGGGCCTCTTGGATAACTGAAGCGTCGGTTTTATACATAGGAGACCCTATGTATATAAAACCTCTTCCGTCTCCAGAGACTTCAGCTGATTCATTTTTTGAGCCTATTTTTCTAAAATCCTAGAGCGAGAAAGAGAGAGGTCGAGAACTTTGTAAGCTTTGTTTCGTTGATGGTTTTCTGCGCGAAAGCCTGAGTTAACAAGGACTGTTAGAGAGAAAGGAGAAGGCCTGGAAATCAGAGGATCGAGAAGAAAGCTTTAGACGAGTTCCAGAATACGAAGCCCTGCAGTCTTCTTCTTCTTCTGAAACCTTAGGGTTTCATTCGGTTATCTCTGAACTTTTTTCTCTTATTTGTTTCTTGAGTTGTATTCCTGACCTATTGCATGTATTGTATCTTGATTGCTTTGCAACCATCTTGTTTGTAAACTGTTTTTGTCTGAGCTAGTGAAATATTGGGACCGGGTTTCCCCTGTTGAAACCCCGCAGATTAGGAAGGTTTTCTTCCGAACTGCGTCAACATATCGTGTCTTTACTTTTCTTATTGCGGTTTTTGCATGTATTAAGTTTGAGATCCGATCTATTTGACTATTGACTTTGATTAGTCTGCGAACAAAAGTCATATCATATGCATAGCAGTTTAATTTTTGCTATTCTTTTCTAGTTTGTACGGCTTTTGCAACCCTGGCAAGTTTCAACCCACAAAAGCGTCACTTAAAATCAATAATTACCCAGTTTTTATCCTTTAATCAAATAAGCCGTTTTCATACGAAAATGGAGTACTTTCTTTTAATTCTAGTTCATTAGACATAGTTTGAGGAAAACAAAAAATACCTACACGGGTAGCTCAATTGGTTGAGTGATGACAATTTGGATCAGAGCAACCATGGTACAAATCCCGCAACGACCGTATAAAAGTTATAGCTTCTGAAATGGGCTGGACCTCTAACGCGCACGGGTATATGAGCTTACTGACACTTCACTGACTGAATCACCGTGATTTACATCCTCTCACGTGCCCTGTCGGATCCGGATGTGAGGGGCTCTGGGGTGAGAGATTCCATACCCCTGGGGTGAGAGATTCCACCTTTTGGATCAGGTAAACAAAAAGTTGCACAGTTTTCATGTGAAACACTCCTTGCACGCACACGTGAGTAACCCACCAATCAAGCAAAATCAATTATTGCCATTCAATCATTCTTGATGTACAATTGTACACAAAAGCACTTTGCATTACCATTAATCACAGAGTTATACATTTGCACATACATTTGATACTCTTCTGTGTACACCGTACACAGTACACATGCAACTAGAGAGAGTACACATTTTGTATGCATTTAACATTCGCTTGTGTACACAATAGAGTGCAGAATGTGTACGCATTTAGTGTACCAATAGAATTTTACAAAACAGTAAGCCCAAACTAGTAAAATTGGCAGCAATAGAGAAAAATATTACTCCGTATATCTCAAGCTATTATAAAATGAATGTTTATATAGCACTATGAGAGTATCAACTATCAGATCAGTCATCAGTTGGTGGGTCTCCTAGATACATTTAAAACTGGAGAAAACAAAACCTCTGATAAAATAATAATTAAAAAACAAAAAACATCCTATACAAGGTAACTTACATGAAAACTAATCACAGCTTAAGCTGAGGTGAAAGATACCCTGAATTAGTAGTACACACAATGTACAAGACAATCAATTGATACACAATGGAGAAAGAGAGAATACTCCCAAAGACACCAACAAACATATACGAGTGAGTATAGTGTTTTGCGTGTCTCTTTTTCGTCTCTTTTTCTGAGACGACCACCACAAACCACCCGTATTGATCATCAGACAGAAAGTGGAGGAAAATCGTCTTCGTCTTTCAAGTGGTATGCAGACTTAACCGGAGGAGCCCTTAGTTTCCAAAAAAAATCATATCAGAATTATTAGCCCTCTTATTAAAAACATTATTCTCACATGACCATAATTAAAAAATAGAATTGTCTCATACCTATCAGACTCCCTGCTAAAATGTGGATTTGGTGAATGTTGGGGAGGCAAAGAGCAGTGGTGCTTGTTATGTTGCCTGATCCGTTCTGATGAAGGTGATAGTGGTGTAACATGGCCAATTGTCCCAAACTCAATGACAGCCTCAGTGCTATTCACAGTAGAGTTTGGGTAATACTCATTGCCCCGAGGAGAGAATGCATGTTGGTGGATTTCATAACAATCAGCAGCACCCAGTTGGGATTGCGGTTGTGGTAGCTCATGCCAGTCTCTCTCTAGCTCCGTGAATGTTGAATTCCACCCATTGGCTTGGTGACTAGGCCTCAAGGCAACTGATTGACTCCTAACTGAAGGTGAAGGTGGAGGCATGTGACCTTGAAAATGTCGGTTCTGCAAACAAACAAAAAATGTGCGGTTACGATAATAACAGTGGGCGTACATGGGAGAACAACAAATGCTACTACCCCTGTCCAATGAAGTTTGGATCGTGGAATTTAGCATAAATAACAAGGAAAAAATTGATTATCTGGTTGTATTGAATTTTTAAAAGCAAGAATGATTGTGAGCACAAAATATGAGCAAGACAAACGTTTTGGGACGATCTTAAAGGGAAAATGAGATGGAGAGTGTATATATGAACGATATACATATATATACATCGGAGCACACTGGCACACTGCACAATCAAGGTGACTGAGCAGAATGCATCCTTCTAAGCCACCCACCCCATAAGCATGCTCCTTATGGAGCATGTTGACGTGGTCATGAAAACATTTAACTTATATGCTTCCTGTTCCTACTTATCTGCTGTCATTTATCAAACCAGTGTAAGAAAATCCATTGGAGTGATAGGTTTACCAACTTTATTATTTTATCAAAAATACCCCTCAGTTCATGAGAGTAAATACTTACTACCTAACAAAAAATAGGTGCATGTGTATATATCTGTACGTGTGTGTGTGCATGCGTGTATGTAAATGTATATATATGCATCTGCGCGCGCGCATACTTAAAAAAGGCAGATGAAAGAAACAAGTAAATTTAGTCAGTAAAGACAGAAATAGGAACAATGGAATATCTTGTGTACCATGTTTGGGAAGTATGTTCCAGTTCCTCGTGCCTTGTGCATCTCACCAAAAGCAATATTTGGTGGCAGAAAGGAGTTTAAGCCATGAAATGGTTGGCTTGGGATGCCACCATTAGAAAATCCATTCCTTCTCAACTTTGGTAGATGTTGAGGACTCCACGACTTGATTTGAAACTGATTCATCAGCAGTGGTGGTGGTGGTAGTGGTGGTGGTGGTGGTGGGACTAACATTGTGGGCATAGCTGAAGTGCACTCATAACACCACTGACCATATTGCAAGCAACTTAACTGATGCTCATAATCACCACTAAGGTCCAACAAAGCTTTCACGGGTTGCAGACCACTACTGCCACTCACTGAAGACAGGTGCCCATTTATGGAGCCCAAATGAGTAACCTCTGTTGCACTAGGAGCGAAAAACTCAATTTTACCATTTGTAAGGTTCTGTTCCAAACCCTTCTCCTCATTACATATTTGTTCTAAACCAGATTCGCAGTTGCCATTTATCATCTCTACATTGCACATGGAGTGATTGTGGCAGATATGAGAATCAAATGTCATTCCAACTGTAAATAGATTACCATCACTGCTTGAGAAAGCAATTTTTGGAGAACCGTTACTTAATTTAAGGTCTTGTGTTTTTGAAGTAGCTAGCTCCATAGCATCTCCACAAAAACGATGAACCAATTCATCCTGTTTTTCACCAATGGCTTCTTTCTCTGATAATCCATGAGAAGGATCAAAAGTACCATCTTTGTTGGTGTCCATAAGACTACCAGATTCCGTTCTTAAATTTGTCCCGCCAAATTGAGATTTATCCGTCTCTGAAACAGGAATATGATCTTGAACACCTGGCCTCTGCCTACCCAACGTGTTGGAGAAGAAATTATGAAGCTCTTCAATAATCTCATCATCATCTGACATCACAAGTATTCTCCCAAGCTTCCTAGCACCATACGTGAATGCACTCCGTATTCTATAGTAATTTCCTGCACAAAGCAACTCTCTCTAGAAATCAAAATAGAACAGGCTTTGGAAATGTCAAAGCTTCAAAAAACTACTTGTACCATGATTTATCAAGTACACCATTTTATTACAATGATTTATCCTAAAAGGAATAATTTTCGGGTTTTAATAAATTGCAGGTGCATTTAAGGAGTTGTTACATTTTTGTACTTAGAGACAAACAGGTACATCTGGGACTGAGTGAAAAAATAGAAAAAAATGGAAAATGATCCAACAGAGAATGCTAAATTCCATATTAATAAACCCTGGCATTTTCTGACCTGGGACGAAACTATACCAGTCACCATTATAATTAATGGTCAACATGGATCATGAAATGGAGCAATGAGCACCACAAACTGGTAGAGACAGATGGTCTCATAAGCGAGGAGGACAAGTAGGTCAAAAGACCATAATTTATGGAATCAAAGGATAAAATAAAATTAAAAACAAAACGGGGGAGTAATCTGATAGTGATGCAAATAGGAAAAAACAAAGGAATAAAGTAACGAACAGCAAGAACCGACCAAGAGAAAAGAAAATGAGGACGCATACTGAGAAGAAACATATGTCAATCACCATATCATTCAAACAAAAAAACTGTCACTCGTGAAGTTGCCTGGCTATTGCAACCGCCAGAAATGTGACAGCTATAAAATCTTGGCAGAACAGGAGAAAAAACGAGAGTATAGGGTTTAGAAATTAGAATAGTACTTCATCATTCGTTCATGTACACTCTAGAAAAATGAAGAAGCATTTGGATCTCTCCATTTACCTCTTAGGCTCTTACCCAAAACCATGTTCTTTATTTGAACCTGTGGCTACGAGTTTATTTCAACGGAAGGAAATGGACTCAAGAACAAATTCACTCATTCTTAGAAATTGAAGTAACTTTTTTATGGGTTATCTTGTCCCTGTGTAATTTTGAACTATTTTTGTACTTTTGAATTCTATTCCATATTTATTAATCCTTCAAACTTATTTTCTTCCTCGCCGTAATATGACTTATTCTTCTTGATTTAATTGATTATTTCCATGATTTATTCTTCTTGATTGGATTGATCATTTCCATGGTGCGCAACATAGATGTAGGAGCTCAAAACTTATGTGGAGAAACTAATGTTGAGGCACAGTCCATGCACTAGAAGAATAAACATGTGTTGTATTTGTGTGGTATCTGGCTCTTTAATGTTGTTTTCTCTAAATGAATTTGAAGTAACTAGAGATATTTATAAACTTGCTCATCTTCGTGATCGCAGGACTCAAGATATTGCAAAAGTTAAGTGTGTGAAGGATGTCGATCAGAGGATATTAATGGACGACGGAGAGATAAAAGAGAAGTGGAGGTCATACTTTGATACACTATTCAACGGGAACAAAACGTAAGATATCGGTGATTTGTCCATACCAGATTGTATGGTAAATCGTGATTTTGTGAGAAGGATCCAAACAATGGAAATTAAAGAAGCTCTGAGGAAGATGGGACGGAAGAAAGCAGTGGGTCCAGATGGCATACCGATCGAGGCTTGGAGAAGTTTGGGGGAGAGAGAGGCGTCGAGTGGTTAACAAGTTTCTTCAACATGATTTGGAGAAACAACAAGATGCCAACGAGTTGGAGGAAGAGTACTCTTATCCCCTTATTTAAAAATAAAGGTGATGTACAAGAATGTGCCAATTATTGAGGGATTAAGCTTATGAGTCACACCATGAAACTTTGGGAGCGAGTGATTGAGCAAAGACTTCAAAGAAATGTGAAGATTTCAGAGAATCAATTCAGTTTTATGTCTGGTCGCTCAACAACTGAGGCCATTCACCTTCTTTGCCAACTTATGGAGAAGTATAGAGACGCTCATAAGGATCTGCATTTGGTGTTCATTGACTTAGAAAAGGCATATGATAAGGTACCTCGAGAAGTTCTTTGGTGGGCCTTAACTAGAAAAGGCATATCACGCGAGTATATCAGCATCATCATGGATATGTATGAGGATTGTACTACAAGTGTCCGTACTAGTGTAGGGAGGACTGAAGAGTTCCCTATTACTATCGGAGTGCACCAAGGATCGGCTCTGAGCCCTTTCTTATTTGCCATAGTCATGGATGAACTTACGAAGTCAATTCAAGACGATATATCGTGGTGCATGATGTTTGCCGACGATATTATATTCATTGATGAGACGCAATCAGATCTTAAAGCAAAGTTGGAAGTATGGCGACAAACATTGGAGAATAAGGGTTTCAAACTAAGTCGAAGCAAGACAGAGTACATGGAGTGCAAGTTTGGTGGAGGTAGAAGCAGTGGTAATAGCGGAATTACTCTGGATGGTAAGGAGATACCAGTCAGCGATATGTTCCGTTACTTGGGCTCCATTATTCAGAAGGACGGTGAGTTAGATGGAGATGTATCTCATAGAATCAGAACAGGGTGGATGAAGTGGAAGAGTGCGTCAGGATTTCTATGCGATCGAGGTATGCCGACTAGACTGAAGGGTAAATTTTATAGGACAGCAATTAGGCTTGCATTACTGTATGGCGTAAGATGTTGGGCGGTGAAACAATGTTGCATTCAAAAGATGATTGTGGAAGAGATGTGCATGCTGCGTTGGATGTGTGGGCATACTAAGAAGGACCGCGTGAGGATTGAGACAATCAGACAAATGGTGGGAGTAGCACCTATTGAGGACAAGATGCGGGAGTCGTGCCTACGATGGTTTGGTCATGTGCATAGAAGACCGAGTGATGCACCTGTCAGACGAGTTGAGATGTGTGGAGAAGAGGCAGGGAAGAGAGGGAGATGAAGACTCAAACAGACGTGGGTTAGGGGAGTTCGAAGTGATATGCTTCTTCTGGGTTTGAATGAGGGCATGACTTTGGAGAGAGCTAAATGGAGGGCGGGTATTCGTGTGGAGGAGTGATCTCGTATCATCTTTTCCCCTCATCTTTTTTCCTTGTTTTTTATCCTTATATATAAGCATTATTTGTATCCTTTTTATTTTATCATTTTTATGTATATTCATCTCTTTTTATATTATCTTTTTATCATAGCTTATCTTTTTTATCTTTATTTTCTTTCTTTTCCTTTTGGTGGTGATATCATGTATCGATTCATGTTAGTCAAACCCAATATCTTTTGGGACTAAGGCTTGGATGTTGTTGTTGTTGTTGTAGACTCGCGCAGAAATCACACTATCACTGCCATAACAGAAGTTGAAGTTATATAGTGATACCCTACTCAAATTCCTTGCTAGTAACATGTATTTTAGTGATTTCACTCCCATGCTAGTTAAGGATTTCACTTTCTACACAATTTTCCCCACACATCAATCTTGTGTTCAAACTAGAGTCACCATACTAAAAAAAGAATAACCTATGCATGTCACCTAATTTGCACCGAAACGGGTAATGCCGGAAACGGCATTTTTAGAAAATATAGGTCACAAAACGTAAGGGAAATGCATGAATGTAATAAATTTAGGGATATTTTTTTAAGTACTACTCTCTCCGTTCCACTAACAATGGGCCAAGAGGGAGTGGCACGCAAACCAATAAAAAGTGGTTTATGTGGTTAATATTGAATTGATAAAGTAAGAATAAAGTAAGAATGATTTAGAGCCACACAAACTTTACCAAATTTGGTATGAGACAATCTTAGTGGGACGGACCGAAAAGGTAAAATGAGACAGTCTTAGCGGGACGGAGGGAGTATATATTATATGTACACAAACGCACACATATATGACACTACTACTAATAATAACAATAATAATAATTCATTAAAAACCTAAATACTCTGACGTTTACATATGTAAGAGGTGTGGGTCTTTCTCACAGCTAAAAATAAACCAGAGCAAAAGTAGTCGTAATCGACAAACCAGAGCAATGTAGCTGCTACAGAAAAATAGAGCAACAGCAACCGGTACCAGATAATCCGTTAATAGCTAATCACCTGGACTCCTAGAGCGATTGAGACGCAGCCTGAAGCGAGGAAGTGTGAAGCTCGAAGACGGTAAGCGATTGATCGACAGATGAAGCTAGAAGACAAAGAACATGATGGAAGGGCTTAATGTTATTCGTAGGGCGTAATTCTGTTGGCAGAGACATGCAAATTTGAGAGTTTCTAGGAAGGATTCCGCCGATTGCAAACTAACGAAGCCTTATATTGGTAGGTTACTAATTTTAAATTTAGAAAGTTCCTTACCTTCGTGGAAAGTTTCTGAAATGCAGCTGACACGCGTTTCTCACGTTTTTTTGCAAATGGAAACGCTCCAACGTTTCCAAAACGGAGAAACCTAAGGAGAACGATGTTTCTGTGCATCGTAGGATTCGTAGCATGTCACTGTTCTATGTGGATACAAAAACCTTCACTCATTGCTATACCTCTCTTTGTTCCCACCATATATTTTGTGAAGAGGCTTTCACATGCAATGACCCGCTTCAATTCTATGAGCGGAAGTCCCACTCATCAACTACTCAAGTCAAGATTGATAAGGTAAAATTATTTCAAACACCCTAAACTTTGGAAGGGAGTGATCTCAGTGCCTTAAAGTTGTCTGTGTTAATTAAACATCCCCTACTCTATGTTAAATAGGAGTCATGAATATCAACTATGGCTGACAAAATGATCCATGGTGTATCTATCATGAAGCAGTAGCTGGAGGAAACTTGGGAAAGGACTGTACTGCAATACCTCCACTCATTGTTATACCTCTCTTTGTTCCCACCATATATTTTGTGAAGAGGCTTTCACATGCAATGACCCGCTTTAATTCTATGTGCAGAAGTCTCAATCATCAACTACTCAAGATTGATTATAGTAAGATTAATTCAAACACCCTAAACTTTGGAAGGGGGTTATCTCAGCGCCTTGAAGTTGTCTGTGTTAATTAAACATCCCCTACTCTATATTAAATGTTAAATAGGAGCCATGAATATGATAGGAACCAGACACGAAAGATGGAAATTGATGTCTATTAAGAACGTAAATGAAGAAACTGAAATGAAACAATACAAGATGAGGCACTTAGAGCAGCCTGTCTCTCCCAAAATCCCAGCCCAAGTCTTAAGTTCTGCCTCCCTTTATTCTACTCTCAGCTCCTATAGATAAAATTTTCTTTACAGGCCAGCCCATAACTAAATGATACCAGGCCTGGACCCCCTAAAACATAATAACACACTTTGTAACATTATTATATTATCTTATTATTATTCTCTTTAGCCCAGGATCCTATCAGAATATTAATTATGGCTGACAAAATCATCCATTGTGTATCTGTCATGAAGCAGTAGGTGGAAGAAACTTGGGAAAGGACTGTACTGCAATTCATTGGAGAAAATAGTAGAGAGCAGGAAGAGGATAATGACAGTGGCATCGCTTAGAGCGGACACAACAAGTTCCTGCCGAGGTTCCAGCTGCCGATTGCGAACATGGATTAGGTCTACGGACGACTGTGTGCTTACTGTTACTTTTTCCAAAGAGCAAGTCAAGAAATCTGCTTTGATTTCTTGTCAGTCATAATTGACATTCATGTCACTCCCTTCCAAAGTAGGGTTTTAAAACTTATTTCCCTAATAATAATAGCAACAACAACAATATGAAAATGACGAAAAGAAATAGAAATATAAAATTGTGTTACCTTTGCTAACACTACGTCCAAGGTTATTGTTGTCCTTAAGAGGGTCAACTATGTTAAGATGCTTTTGTTGAAAGGTTCTGGAGTTCATGTCATAAGCTCTAGAAGAAACAGAAAACATTTTGGCACAATAACTTAGGAAGTCATTGTCGAGCAGTAACTCACCGCCATCATTTTCAGGTGCCTCAACTGGAAAAAGGGCAGACGAACAAATCGCATTGATACAATAATTAGGCAAAGCAACATTGACTCACAGGCCAGAGGTAGAGAAAAAGTTGCTCACCCACAAGTTCTGGCAAAGATGATATGCGGACAGGACCAGATAAACTAATACAATAGTTCTCCCAATCAAACTTGCTAAAGTAGTCCAAAAATTTGTAGAGAACCTGAACATTCAACGGTTTCAGTCATTAGATCCACAAAATGTGTATAAGGATGTTGGATAAGTTGGGTATTCAGCAGGTTGTTTTACAGAGATCAATGGTTGAAGATTTTTCTAGAATCACGAGCTAGGTCAGGTGGTCCAATATTGCAATATAGCATAGAAGTATATAAGGTTTGATCCTCATCCTGGCTTGGATAGGCTTAAAACCACAGTGGCATCAACCACCTCATAACAATAAAAATTACTAGCTCCGTCCCGGTGGACTTTGCCAAGTGCAAAGTATGTGAGAAATAAGAATAGTAAAAACTGTGTGGTTGAGATTTGTGCAGAGGAGAGAAATGTGCAGAACCACAAATTAGTTGCTTTAATAGGAAAGTGGCAAAGTTTTTTGGGACAACCAAAAAAGGAAAGTTGGCAAAGTCCAATGGGACGGAGGGAGTAACTTTTTTTTGAAACATAGCTTTTTTGAGGATGAAGGGAGTTAAATGTTTGCAAGTATAAAAACAAAAAAAAGGTCAAAATGCAAATACTTCAAGCTTAGAAAAACATAAACCAGCAAAACATTGATTGTAGAAGCCAGGATCATATTTGTAGTAAATCACATTTATGTGCATGTATGTGTATTTATACATATTCCTTTCCGGCGAACAAATTAACATGATTGATTATTTTTGTATTATCCAATATCCATAACCTAGTATGGATATGTATTTGGTGATCACTCCACTTTTTTACAATACATTAAATTGTAAAGCATAACCAACTTAGATAATCAGCTTACAGGTGTTTAGTGTTTACGATCATTTTACATTTTACAGCATCAAATCATCAATGTTTAACAAAAATTGGGCGCATTCATTTCGATCACATTTTCTTTTAATTTTATGTAAGAAGGTTATGTCACAACTGACAAGGGCATTAGGGAATAAACTTTGCCAATGCCACTCTGCTTTCTGAGTGACTTTACAATGTTAACTGATTATGAATAAATAACTGACAGTATTACTGCATGCCACCAACACTAAGCCTCTAACATATAGTTGTTGGTGTTGTTATATGTGGTACTGATGTGATAACTTAGCTTACACCTTTCAAACTTTGAAAATAAAACCACCAGATTTGTTGAATTAGTAGTGAGCAGTAGCTTTTCCTTGTTATACTGTTTCAAGGGATTTGAAGGATTTGGTTGTCTATTAGAACGACCTAGAGATTAAAACAGTACATCTAAAAAACTTACTGCTAAAGGACCCTCCAGGGTGGCATGAAATAGATGAAAGATATATAAAATAAGAGTCTCCAAAGCATAAGTTGATATCAAGCCATGATGAGCACCAAGGATTCGACTTTCATAATAGCACCAGGCTTTTATTAAAATAATACTGCGTTTAAATAGATGATCTTTGCCAATGAGTTGATCAACCTGTAAAAACAAGCAGAGCTCTTAATGAAAAATGAAAGAATGCTTCCAACTTCTTAACAATCAATAGCATAGTAACAAGAGTATCTATTTAAAACGGATCATGAAAAAATAGCACAAATATCTTCATAAGCAAGTTAGCATGTAAGCCCCCCAGTTTCCCACCCCGCCTAAATGATATTGAGTAGCAAGTCTTATAAACATAACAAAAAGATAAGATGTAAGAGATATTTCGCTCTAATATTTTTTTCCATCTAGAACTAGAATACTCAGCCGTTCTAGTAACCGGAAGGAGCATCAGGAAAGTGTATAAAATACAATCCTGAATATGAAAAAAGAAATCCAATTTCAAGGACCAAGGCATACCTTTTCAAGAAAGCACAGCGTACAAAGACCACCTATTTGATTGATTGAGATGTCGACGACAATATTTTGAACTATGCACTTTACAAGCTTGACCTTCAACAAGAAACATCAGAATCAGATTTCAGGAGACAACTTCTAAATATATATGCTTTAGAAATGAAATTACAGACCAAGCGTATGCTAAGAGAAAGCGATCAACATTGCACCCCCAGAATATAACCTAGTTAAACAAATTGGTTACAAGTCTAAGTTATAATCATTCGGCTAGGTTCTCCAAAGGTAATAGATATACTCAGTATCATAACGTTTTGGCTCCCATTTCTTGTAGTGGTATGACAAGAGCAGCCAATACAAAAACAACATACTTGTGCCAATAAACTTGTCAAGAGAAAATCAACTTAAAATAAGTGCAGACCTACAGTTAAAAAGAAAAAGACATAAGTGCAGAGCTATTGTTAAAAAGGAAAAGACCGAAGTAGTTGCACATAATCTTATGGTTCGAGAAGCTAAGTTACTGCAGCCTATTCTGTATTCACAATTTTCTGTATCAATTTTTCCTTATTGATACAACAGAAAAAAAATCACTACACAGAAAATTGTAAGTGCATATAAACAGAGAGGTCAAAACCTCAGCACGAATGAGCTGGACATCCTTTACAGCGAACTCTGCAGTGCTGTTTTGATCCACTCCTTCAAGAACTGATGACATATCATTGACCAAAGCATCCTCCACCATCGGACTGCCAAATACAGTCAGATCAATGTCACCGTCAGGAAGATAGGTCTTTAGAGGTACAGATCCATATGAGAACACCTGTCATTATTATTTTATAAAATAGATCATAACTTCTCTGTTTTTCTCTGTTTCCCTTTCTTTTTTGGACAAGTACAACTAATGAACAAGTATAAATACAAACTAACTTTTAGCAAGGTAAATAAAATTAAATTATTATTTTAATGTGTAATTATCAAGTGAGTGCATGCATGCAATCAAATACCAATAACACCTCCCTGGTGAAATTACTTTTAAATCAAATTCATGTATACTTGAAAGATGGATTTATATAACAATATTTTTATTTAAAATTAAGTAAAACATATTCATAGCATTCTATTATTCTAAGAAAATAAATAAGTAGATAGCACTATATTTACAAAATACAAATTATATAGAACAAATATTATTAAAATTATTATATAAAGTTTTAATTTTGTTCCAAACAAATCATGAAAAATTGTTCCATTATATTTTATTATATTCCTATCACAACATTAAAAATCCCTAAATAGGAGTAAAAACAATGAGGTTCCCCTGATAGGAGTACTATGTTTTTTCCTAAACAGGAATAATTATTATCATCGACACTGTCATACTATGACAGTAATACTGCCATATTAATGCTTCATAATCCCATAAAATGGCAGTATGATTTCAGGTTGTGATACTCTACTCCTATTTCAGGGGGTAGCACTGTTATTTAGGGAAACAACCTAGTTGTTACTCCTATTTCATGTTGCGATGCTTAAACCCACACCACAATTCTAATGCTCAAAAAAATCTAAACTTAAAGTTGATAAATCATCATTTGTCGCACATTTTCAGGTTTGCCACGTTTTGCTCCAGAGTCAGACATGGCATCCATTTGCAAGTAGTGGGTAAGAACAACACAAACTCTATATAATCAAATGCTTCTTGCGAAAGCCCAATTCTTTTGAAAATGCAATTTACGAATAAAAAGGATCTCCTTTCACCTAATTGATATGTTAAATGGAAACCATACATTTGCAAAAAACAAATTTTAACGCATAGATAGAAGAATGCTGCATCAACCATATAACAATGGTGAAAAGAATATTATTCTGCTGCTCGCAAGGAAGACCTTATCTTGATAAGAAAATCAGCTATTAGTTAACTTGGAAAGCAACAGAAAACGCAAAAATAGCTACAAACATGATACCATATGTGTGCATTTGTGTAAGTCGACAGCAAGTATTCAGCAAAGAACATTTACGAGCTTCAAGCAAATGGCCTTAAATAACTTCAGCACAAATTCACCGAGCAACAAAATTTCTATACATCAACTAATTGTGATTTTATGGAATCAGACAACAGGACTAACTTCAGAAAAGCACAAATTTTTAGGTTTGCAAATTAGGCTGAAACGTGTTAGCATCAAAAAAGGAGAAAACAACCCCCCGCGTGCGCGCAAACATAGCCTTCATGCATGAACATTAAATTAAAGTCTAACCTCAAGACCTAGAGTTTCTCTGATCAATTTCTGAACATAATCGATGACCGCTCGTCTCCTCTCTGCAGAGACAGATGTTGGCTGAACCTTCTGAATGATGTTTCGAGTAGCTTCCTCCGCTCTGAGCCAACGCAGCGGCTCTATAAACGATGGGAGTGAGTTCGACGTTGATGGCGGCGATGGTGCTTTACTCTCCTCGACTGAAGCGCCACCTAGAGTCTCTAGATCGCCCATGAAACTTCCAAAAAATATCACCTCGTCACCCCACACCAGAATCTTAAGGGGACATCCAGTTATGGCTCTTCTTCAATTAAGTAGTTTTGTGGGTGAATCGAAATATCCAGTTTTGTTTTAAGAAAACAAAAATCAAAACCAACTGAAAACAATATGATATCTTCTGTACTTATTTTGTTTTTTCTTTTTCTAAAAATAAAAAAATACGTGGTAGGATTGAAGATACTTCGTAATAAATTTTTAGGGTTTACGGAGAAGGCGAAGCCGCGAAGGAAGGCAAGAGGAAATACATAAATCAATTTGGTAGCAAGTTCCGCAACTTGCAAGTTCAGGTGTTTCCGTTAATTCCTTTCTCTCGTCTTTTTTTTCTTTTTTTTTCTTTTTCCTTTTAGTTTGTCTCGTTTATTGGTTTTATTATTTCGTGTTTGACAGTAGCTTGTGCCTTCTAATCACTCTTAGAGCCCATTTGCTAATCAGGTTTTTCGACTTATGACTGATTTTGCTTAGGTCATTTTTTCACAAACTAAGTGAGTTTTAATTTTGCAAATTGAGTTGTGTAATACTTCGTTCGTTCGTACCTAATTACTTGTCACGTTTTCCCTTTCAGGACGTAGCAATAAAAAATGTCTCATTTTTCTTTTTAGATATGGACTCCACCATCTTTTAATCTCTCATCATTAAATATTTGCATTTTTCATTTTATTTTGTCCACCTACCCCATTATTAATCCTCATCCCACCTAACCATATCATACTCATTCCACCGGTTCCCATTAATTCCCTCATTATCACCATACTTAACTCGAATCATCCTCTCTCTCCATCAACTCGTCTCTACGTCTCTCTGGTTTATGTGTATTTTCGTCTCTCTGTCTCTCTGGTTTTTCTCTCGGACCACCTCTCTGTCTGTCTATCTCTCTGGTTTTCTCTTTCAGGCCAGCCTCTCCTTACAGCCCTCCTCCCCGTTTCGGCTCTGTTGTCTGCCACCTTATCCAATCATTGTTTCCCATCTCCGACCTACGAAACCACCGTTCCTTTGCATGGATCCGTATGACTCTGATTCTGAGCTGATACTGCTTGAACAAGCAGTATCCTCATCATAACTTAAGTGATTTTCATCATCCAAAAAACTTATTGAATCATTGAGGGAAACACCCATCTGCATTTTGTCACAAATACATTACAATACCTACTAAAGAAAATGCTAAAGTAAATAAGACATGAATATAGTACATGTTAATTTCCTTAAATTAACATGCATTTAAGATGTTTTATAAAATGAAATTATGTCCTCTCCAACTTCACAAAAATGTGTGGAGGAAGTTTTAGGGTTGAGTTCCCTCTCCGACTTCGAGAAGGAATGTAACACCCCCAATTTCCACATCAATTATAATAAACATATCCTTTTATTAATAACAGAGTTCAGCGGAAGACTTTAAAAAAGAAATTGGGTGCATTATTGTCACGCTTAGCTTTACATCACTAAGCGCTAAGGCTATCGCCACATTATTTCAAAATACAATATTGTAGAACCTTATTTTCTAAATATAATATCTAAACGATACAGCGCTCTCGGACCGTAAGCTTCAATCAGCATCTTCTATTATACAAAAGTAGGATGAAATGTGAACAGTAAAGATGAACAGTATTTCCCCTCAAAAACATCACTTTCACGGGTCGGGTCTGCATTGGGACAGGTTGGTTTTCCAGTAAGGGGCCCGCGCAATGGGTTTGTAATCAGGAATCATGTGGCTTAAAATTGCAGCATTAAATGCAATGGCCATTGCCAATAAAGCTTATTGGTAGGCTCAATAAAAAGGACATGTAGAGGAGAATTATAATATTAAAATAACTTAACCATCATTTCGAATTAATGGGTTTGTAATACAAAATCTTACATAATGGGGTTACATCTCCGCATGGTTTTAAAAAAAAGGAAGATGATTGGTTGAGCTCATTTAATGTTTGCACTTTGAAATCTTTATTGAAGATTTAGGTTGAATGTACCAATGGTTAAACACAAATTTGCAATGGATAGGCACTCCATTCTCCACCTATAAATACATTTGCTTGTGGTTGCAAACCACACCACAAACCAGCATTTCACAAGCATGTCATTGCTACTTCTACAAACCATGGCAGGTTCGTCAACCCAAACAGGGATGTGGTCTTTGATCAGATATATTGACCATACCAAGTCCACTTGGGCATTGAGAGTTAGAGTTGTGAGAGTGTATGAGGTGCCTCCCCATGCCCGGGGTGGAGAGACTCTTGAAATGGTGTTGCACGATGCGTAGGTAAAAATTAAAACTAATATGGTTGGGAATGGCAGGTTTTGTTTTTTTTAAGGTCGTTAACAGAGTTTTTTTTAAACAGGGAGATCGTATTCACACAGTTATTAAGAGGCCACAGCTGTTAATGTACAAGTCAATAATCAAAGAACATAAAGTGTACGCACTGCGTAACTTTTTGGTCCTTGGCAACTACCAGACTGTGAAAACCACTTCTCATCCCTATTTAATCCAGTTCATAAGCAAAACTGCATTCAGGAAAGACAATAGGACTGAGTTGCCAATGAGTTTGTATGATTTTCAACCTTTTGAGATGCTTCAGGCCCAAAGGGTGACCAATGACAAAAATCTCATTGGTAACTACATCTATCTTACTACTACATTGTTGAGGCATCAGTTAATGTATTAATTGCATTTATATTGGGCATCCGCATGGGGACTTAGAAAGCTATTTGTGATTTTATTAGCAGCAGATACAATGAGTAGACCGGAATACGTGTGGGAAAAATGTTGGACATTTATGTCAGATGACATTCTACATATCCAAAGAAGAGCTTTAATGCATCCAGGTACTAAACAGTTGATATTTTACACATACAAATAACCTATATATATATAATAAAAATCATGCATTATCTATTACACATGTTGTTTGATATTACTCTTTTAATAAATGTAATATTAGATTTGAAGTTGACCGAAATTGAGATTAAGAATTCTGCATTGACTGAAATAGAAATGATGTTGAGGAGAATTGGTAGGACTTTAAAGGACTATCCATCAATGCCATTTCCAACGATAAGTGATGTTGCCATATTTCAGTAGACTTATTTTTGACGAATTGCAGTATGATCATGTTGCCCTACGTGAAGAGCATGACAAATGCATGCAGAGTCTCAATGATCAACAACGTCAGGTGTACACAACCATTATGCAATCTATTGAAGAAAATAAAGGTGGGGTATTCTTTGTATATGGTTATGGAGGTACGAGGAAAACGTTTGTGTGGAAGACGTTATCAGCTGCTTTGAGATCCAAAGGAGAAATTGTTTTAAATGTTGCTTCCAGTGGCATAACAGCTTTACTATTGCCGGGTGGTAGGACTGCTCATTCGCGCTTTGCAATACCAATTAACCCGAATGAAAACTCCACATGCAACATTAAACAAGGAAGTCAGATAGCTCAATTGATAATTCGGTGCAAACTGATCGTATGGGATGAGGCGTCGATGATGCACAAGTATTGCTTTGAAGCCTTAGATAGAAGTTTGTGGGGCATCTTGAGATTCACTAATTCGTGCAGTGCTGAAAAGCCCTTTGGAGGGAAAACTGTGGTATTCAGGGGAGACTTTAGACAAATTTTACCAGTCATTACAAAAGGTACTAGACAAGACATTGTGAATGCGACGATTAATTCTTCACATCTTTGGCATGAATGCATGGTATTACGTTTGACGAAGAACATGAGGTTGCAATCATTGACAGATGATCGTGAATATGAGGATTTGGTAGAGTTTGCAAAGTGGATTGCGAGTTTAGGAGATGGGATTGTGGGGGAAGATAATGACGGTTTTGCCAATGTCAAAATTCCAAGTGATCGTTTGTTAGAGTGTGGAGGCGACCCCATTGCCACTATTGTCCAAAGTACCTACCCAAACTTTGAAAATGTCGTGAATGACCCGACTTACTTGCAAGAGCATGCAATTCTCGCTCCAACCCTTGATGTTGTCGATGCAATAAATGAATACATGACTTCTTTGAATGTTAATGAAGAGTCAAGGACATATTTAAGTTCAGATAGCATTTGCAAGTCAAACTCCAATGTTGATTTTCTGGCTGATTTGCACACTCCAGAATTTCTCAATAAAATACGTGCATCTCGAGTTCCAAACCATGAGTTAACCCTAAAGGTTGGTACCCCAATAATGCTTTTAAGGAATATTGATCCTTCAATGGGGCTTTGCAATGGAACAAGGTTAATTGTTACACGACTTGGGAATCACATCCTAGGGGCAAAAATTTTGGGCGGAAAATATGTCGGGCATGAAGTTGTCATTCCCAGGTTAAGCTTAACTCCTTCAGATTCAAGAATACCGTTCAAGTTTCAGAGAAGACAATTTCCAGTCATGACCTCTTACGCGATGACTATAAATAAGAGTGAAGGACAATCTTTGTCTCACGTTGGACTATTATTGAAAAAGTCAGTCTTCACGCATGGTCAACTTTATGGTGCAGTGTCAAGAGTAACAAATCCTAAGGGTTTGAAGATATTGATCTGCGATGAAGATGGACAACCAACTGACCATACCACCAATGTAGTTTATAAGGAAGTTTTTCGCGATGTCTAAGTTATCACACTGCAGATATTGATCTGCGGTGAATATAAAGAGACATGCTATTTTATAACATTTCGTTATTTCTACTTAATCCAAAACAAACGTACTACCTATCTCTCAGTTGTCAGTATCCGATCTTTACTTATAATTTATTATGCATGTTACGTCTATGACAATTTGCATTCATTTCACACGACCAAGTAATATTTACAAATAATATCATATCGCTATTACATTTAAATATCCCGTGCATCGCGCGGGTGCGAATCTAGTCAACACAATCCACATGATCGCCTCTTTTGAATAAAGGAAAAGAGAAGAAAACATAGAGAGGGAAAATTAGCTTGAAAGCTAAGTAAATTCAACCCCGTAAAATATTTGGGTATTGAAAATGATTTTCATGTATAGAAAATCATAGAGATCGATACATAACTGATATAGCATACGATAAAAATATCATTTCACTTAAAAATCATTTGTGTGTTTATCAACCCAATCTTATGGTATTTTTTTAATAGATGGGCGGGGTTAATGATTCCTCTAACCCAACGAGTCGTCGTCAATTACGAACCTCGAACGGAATACTGAATCTCATCCAAACTCAAATATGTGGAAACTGAACTTCGACCTTAAGTGTATACTTCACCAAAAGAGATTCCAAACTCCTAGAGTAGTAGGAAGTTCAAGTGACCAGAATTTTTCTATCAACCACTCAAAAGGGAACATTTGTCTTATGTAGTTAGAAACTGTAATCACCTAAAGCGGCGTCGCTCTCAATTTTTCAAAACTCAATATAATGAATTCAGCTCCAATAACTGTTTAACCCAAAGACAAAGATAATGGCAACACTAGACTGCGACACCTTGTGTTATTTCAAGGGTCCAAATCAATATTCTCTGAAAACATAATTAGTTTCTCAAAAAGGATTTTTCATAACTAATCCCCCAAAATAATATTTGTTGGGTCTAATATATCCCAAAATTCATACTTGATCCCACTCTCCATAATTTCAAGAAATACATCTATTCGTATAATTCTTATAAATCAGTCAAAAACAATTATATAAAAAAAAATTATATAATTTCATAAAATCATCTAAAAATGAGATTTCATCCTATCTTAATTTCACAATATTCATGTAATCAAATAAGTTTATAGAAAGCATTTAAAATAGATAAACATATACGTAACACTTGATATTAATTTAAAAGGATTAATAGTACTACTCATACAAACAAGGTGCATCTCCTTTTAAGGGAGCTCATTAGTCAAGAACTCCAAAATCAAGCGTGTTTGCATGGGTGTAACCTTGCGATGGGTGACCCCCTGTGAAGTTTCTTAGGGCGCGCATGAGTGAGGACTGAGGACGAAGTGCGCGTTAAAGGTTTGTGGTGGTTTGTGAGTACAGTACTAGAGGTCAGAAGTAACCACCTCAGGGCCTGCGGGGCCGGGGTGTTATAGGTGGTATTAGCGCAACCCCGCGACAGTGTGCTGATCCGTTGGATAATAGGTGGGCACTTAGCAAGGGAATATTCTGGGATATGATTGAGATTGAATTGGCTTATGGGCGCAACAAGGACATTACGATCCTAAGTGGGGGTGATTGTAACACTTGAGATAAATTTAAAAGGATTAATAGTACTACCCATACCAACAAGGTGTACCTCCGTTTAAGTTTAAGGGAGCTCATCAGTTAAAAACTCAAAAGTTAAGCGTGCTTGCACGGAGTAGCCTTGGAATGGGTGACCCCCTGAAAGTTTCAGAGGACGCGCACGAGTGAGGACAAAGTGCGCGGAAGAGGCTATTGCCGATTTGTGAGGACAGTAATTAATAGAGGCCTGGAGGGTGTGTAGGAGTAACTACCTCGGGCCATACGGGGCGGAGCGTTACAATATATAAGTGGGAAAATAGTAATTTTAGTTGAAGTTGTACTTACATCGACAACTAGTTTATTCTACCACGTAACCTTGATTCTTTTTGAGAATCAGTACCTACTCAATAATTCTTGGTCTCCACAATCAATCAAATTTAATTTAATAAATTTGATTAACGGGATAATAATTTGATAGAGTATATCTAGAGAGAAGTGAGAGCTAGAGAGAGAAGTGCAATAATATGCTTCAATAGAATGAATTTTTCTCCCCTATAACTACTCCCAAGGGGAGTATTTATAGAGAAAATACGGGCTGGGCTCCCAAGCCTTGGGCTTGGGAGGCCCATTTACATCTGGACCGCTACCGGGCCGAATACAAAGCCACTAATGGGCTGTTCAAATGAGTAAGTGTAAAACCCTGTTCTGTGAGGTCTTCGTGGCCGACGAGGGCGTGGCCGACGAGGGCACGGCCGACGAGGGCGCGGCCGACGAGGGCACCCGGGTTCCTTGGACTCAGGACCATATTCTGAGTTGGCACCTTCTCGGCCGACGGGGGTCCCTTGGCCGACGAGGGCACCACTCAGTGTCTTGTGCTTTCTGTTCTTCTGAGTATGTGGGTCCGGGGGCTCAGACCCATATACTCCATCAGGAGTCCCCCACTCTCTAAGCTGAGACGTAGACGAAGTGAAGGAGAGTAGATTCTCGTGCTTTGGTGCTTTTGGCCGATGCGGGCACTCCTAGGTCGTTAACTATTGCGGTGTTGGCGCTGTCTTCATTTCGGTGATCTTGTTCCGGGCTTGGCCGTCACCTGCTCCTCGTTGTGGCCGGGGAGGCCGTTGTTTCCTTGGTGTATTCATTTGGGGACGATGAGTGTCCTGCTTCGATAGTGGCCGTTGAAGGCGCGTTTTCCCTTGGACGTTGGTGGTTGAGATTTACAATTGGGCCGATGAGGCTGTTGAGGTTGAACCTTGCTTTGAGGACGATGGTGTCCTTTCCTTTGGGTGGCCGGTAAGGGTGCTTGTGCACTCCTTTTGGCCGTCGCTGACTGGCTTTCGTGTCCCTGGCCGAAGAGCCCATTATGGTTTACTGTTGGCGGGGGACGATGAATGTCCCTGCCTTAGGTGGCCAGTTGGCCATTGTTGATGACCTTATGTGCCGTTGGCCGTCGAGGCACAGTGTGATACATGGACGATGTGGCCATGCTTTGTGGTTACATTTGTGTTTGCATTTTTCCTTTTGTTTTGTTGAGGCCGATGTAGCCCCCCAGTCCCCCACTGCTTCAGGGCGAAGAGAGTGAGGGGTGAAGGAGTTGCTTGAGTCCCTGGCCGAAGCGACCTCTCCGTAGTCCCCCTGAATCCAACCCTCATGGCGATTTTCTGGCCAAGGTAACCCTGTGGGAGAACCCTTGTGCGCAGATCGCTTGTAGAGAGTTATCATCGAGGGTCGTTACGGAGAGTCGATGGATGCAGGTTCTTTGTTCCTTTGGTTCTGTGGCCGTTACCGGTGTTCATGACGTTCCTGGCCGTTGTTGTCTCCTTGTTGCTGGCCTTTGTGAAGCCGGTAAGCGTATAGGCCGTTGTGGGTGCTTGCTGGCACTTGTGAAGCCGGCAAGCATATAGGCCGTTGTGGGCGCTCATTGTCAGTGTGATCCGTAGGCTTTTACTCCGCTGATACGTTGGTTCACGAGCCCGGCCCATTTCTGAAGGGGTGGCACCTCATCGGCTGCTGGGAAGGCGACCGCTGAGGTGGCCATTGATATGGTGCCACGTGTAGTGACCGTTGGAGATTTGCCTATAAATACCCCCCTTCTCCGAAGCGGTTCCTCACTTGCATTCTTGAGATATTGAAGTGCTGCCCAAATTTCTAGAGAGAGAGAGAGAGTCTTCAAGGTGTTCTTCGAGTTCTTCCAATCTTCAAGGTTAGTTCTTGACTTGTTCTTCAATTCCTTTGTATACTTAGCTTCCCTGAGCCTTGATCTAGTGTTAGTGGATAAAACGCCTTAGATCCGAAGTTATTCCCCTTAGGCTCGTGGTAGTTGTAATGATGAAGAGTTTAGACGAAGAATACTATCCGTACGACGACCAGCCCTCTACTAGGTCACTCGACTATGAGGTGCTTGAGGAGTTCGAGGAAGAGATAGAACGTTTAAGTCCTTACAAATCCGGAGAGCCGGTAGACGACGAAGGTGAGGACGAGGAGTCCGCCTCATCTTCAAAAGGTGGGGACGCAGGTGCGTCCCGAGTGGTGGATGGGGCGTCCACTTCCGCTGTTATTCCGTGCCCCAAACCGGTGTCTGCCATGAAGGGAGCAGACAAGCCGAAGAGAATAAGGAGGCCGAAGAGTGGGCCGGGCATCTCCTACCTGGATCTTACAAACATTTTCTTGATCAAGCCGGAGAGCAGTGCGGCTGACTACTTAGTTGCCCAGATGTACGTGGGGCCGTTCGGGAGGGTTAGGGCGCCCAGGCCGACGGACCATGTACTCCATCCGCCACCGGGATACTTTGGAGTATACTCGATGAGTTTCGCCAAGGGGCTGAGGTTTCCCCTTCATCCCTTCATCACCGAATATTTGGACATGGTGGGACTCCCTCCGGCCTTGCTGACCCCAAACAGCTACTCGTTGATGGTGGGGTTCTTGCTCCGCTGTGAGGAGTTGGGCTACAGGCCGACGACGGCTCTGTTCATGAATCTTTATCAGATCGGCCGAGGAAGCCACAAGAACTGTGCGGCCTATGCTACTCTCCAACAGCTGCCGAGGAAGAGGAGCTTCATGGACTTGCCTTCGTCCATTCATGGGTGGAAGAGCAAGTTCGTTTTTGTATCCCTTGGTGAGAATGGCACTGAGTTTCCCTCTCTCGGCCAAACTGGGAGGTTCAATTTGCACGACCCGCCGAGGAGTTCTATCTTGGACGCTCAGGTGGAGGCGTTCCTGGAAGGGGGGCCGAGGAGCGTGAAGGACTACATCACCGAATATAAGATGACCGCCCTCGACTTCTTCAGATACTACGTGTATGGCGACAAGGAGGACGATGTCCAACTTTGGTCGAGGATGACCACTACCTTTGAAGAGGCCGACGGCCCGGATTTGGGCATTCCTGCTGAGGCTGATGGTAATTCTTTCTTCGGCTTTCTTCCTTTATAATTTGTTCTTTTGCCTTGCTAATCTGTTCATTTTCCTTTGTGTAGATTTTATCATGGATCGCCGTTCAATCATGGCCATAGCCAAGGCCAAGGCGGCCGAGGAGTTGGCTGCAAAGGCGGCCGAGGCGGCCAGACGTGCCGCGGACGAGGGGGGCGGGGCTACTGCTGGTGCGGCCCCGAAGCCTGCCCAGTCCAAGAAGAAGAGGCCTCCCACTGACGGTCAGAAGAAGTTGACCAAGGCTGGCCTGAATGTCACTAAGAAGACGAAGAGGGCACCGTCTCCTTCCCATGCCGATGAGGTCGGTACTCTGACCGTCCCAAGTGTGGACGATAGTGGTCCCGTTGTGAATCTTACTACTGCTCCAAGCGATGCTGCCCAATCGCTCCCTCTCGTCCAGGAGCCACGGACGAAGAGGGCCGGCAAGGAGATTGCCGCTGCCACCTACCAGAAGATGGTGGAATACCCCGTCGGCGGGGGTGTTTTTTGACGATGTCGTCCTCGGCCACGATGTGCTGGCCCAGGCCATGCCGGCCAAAGATCGGGCCTACCTCAAGAGGCTCGGAGACGTTAAGGTGTACGAAGGCGGGATGGACCTCCTCGTCCAAGTAAGTTCCCTTCCTTTTTATTTGTCGTTTTTCTCGTCGTCCGGGTGGAATCATTTGCCTGAGTCTTTGTTTGCCTTTTTTGTGCAGGGTGCCTTCATGCTCATGGAGAGCCACAAGAGGCAGCATCGGGAGATTGCTCGTCAGAAGGAGCTTGAGCAGAAGGCTGCCTCGGCCGATGAGGCGGTAGCCTGCTTGGATCGGCTCCAGGAGGATGCCAAGGCCTTGCAACAGAGGGCCGACGAGGCAGCTGCAGCCAGGGACGATGCCCTGGCCAAACTCGAGGAGAGCCAGAGGGCGCTTGAGGCTGAACGGCGCAAAAATGATGAAGCCGTGAAGGCAAAAGCTGAGGCCGAGGCTGCCGCTGTGAAGGCCGCTGATGAGGCCGTTCAGCAGTTCTTGGCCGAGGGGTGGAAGGCCGATGAGCGGCTCTCCTGGTGTTATGAAGTGGTGGCCGCGAAGCTTGAAGATTGGGGAATGAACTCCCCCGCCGGCCAGAAGTACTTTAGCAGGGAGATTGCCGTGTACTACAACATGGGCCAAGAGCGGATGCAGAGGCTCCTGTGTCGACGGCTATCGCGTGCTCTCAAAGCCATGAATTATACCTCCGGGTGGGCGAGGCGGAACTTGAAGCTTCCCAAGCTGATGAAAGATCCCGAAGAGCAGGCTAAGCTTCCTCTTTCGGAGCGGGAGCCCCCAATCAAGAGTTCCGGCCTCGGCGAGCCGGATTACAATGAGTTTGACTTCCTGGATGATGCCACTAGTTCCGCAGCTGCTGTCGTCCAGGAGACTGAGGCCGATGAGGGAGCCGAAGATGCCGAAGAGCAAACCCAGGCTGGGCATCTGATGTAATTAATTGATCGGCTACTCCCCTCTCCCTATTTTGTAATTAGTTCTTATATTTTTGCCCATCCGATGTAATGGCCGAAGCGCCCTCCAATGTAATTGATTGTTTATGAATGAACCCTTTGTTGTCCTGCTCGACTTTGAATGTCTTGTATGTTTATTCCCTTTTGCTATTTCAATTTTGAAATTTGTCTAAGTGTAAAAAATTACAACTTAGGTCGCCCGCGAGTGTTTTCTACGTCCGTGAGGTAGCCCATTCAGTCTGGTGGCCTGGTCGGCCTGTCCAGTATCTCTTCGCTGTTGTAACACTTGGGATTTATTCAAAAATCTTCTAAGTGTTTTAGATCCACTCAGGGTTTGTCTTAGTGTCTTTCTTTCCGTCCTGACTGAGGCGGGCAAGCTGAGGTGCCCGCTGCGTCCTGGCGTGGTCCCATTCTTCTTTTTTGTTAGAATTTTTATAAGTGTCTAACTTCAAGTGGATGGGTGTCCTCATCGTCCTGGTATTGAATCTCTCTCAGTGTTGACCAATGATTTGGGAAATTCCCTAAGTGTTGAACCAATGTCGTTGTGGTCGGCCCAGTGTTTTTCGTGGCCGTCGTGTTCCCTTGTTCCTGATCTGATCAGGAAAGTCGGCCTGGGTCCTTGTGTTGTGGCCGATAAGGGCACCTTGAACTTAGTTTTTTGAACTTAGAATTTTTTCTAAGTACACATGCAAGACACAGGTAGCTAACAGCCTGCGAGTATACAGATGCTCGCCTTGTCCAGAGTTTCTTCATTCGAATACTTAGAATTTTTTCTAAGTATAAATGCCAGACAGTTTCTTCTTTTTGGTACCGTTGTCGGCTAAGAGGTGGCCCTACCGTCATCGGCCAAGGCCTGGCTTTGTGGCCGATGAGGCTGCCTTTTGCATTCCCCACGAGTTTCTAAGTGTCGGAATTCTCTTAAGGATCCTTTTTCCTCTGGAATTTTCTCTAAGTGTTTGGTAAACACTTGGACAAATCCCCAAAGAACTTTCGCCTGACCAACAGCCTGGGTTTCAGTGCCTGTAACGGCCATCCGGAATGCTGTGGCCGGTTAGGGATTGCTGCTTGAATGATTGATTCTTCCGCGGTTGTGATATTGCCCGCTTCGTCCTGGTCAACCTCAGGATTGATACTGCCCGCTTCGTCCTGGTCATCTTTCAGGATTGTCATTCTTTATTTCATACTAAGTGTTGTTGCTTCAAAGAGCTGTGGCCGATGAAGGTTACCACTCGCGTGTCACCCAACCACTGGTTAGGGTTTTATAGGCGTATGCTTCGGCCTTGACCATTCCCTTGTGGTGTGTGGACGTATCGTCCATGTCACCTGTTAATGGTACTACACTTGTGTTCAACTGATATGTACTTAGCCAAGTTGGGCCTGAATTGTGGGGATTTTATTTTTTCATTGCTCGAGGCCGGCAAGTGCGCGCGGTCCTCGGCTTCCCTCTTTTCTCTTTTTTTTTCGTTGGTTCCCTATTTCAGGGGGTATCCTTCTTTCAGGCTTCGGCCGAAGAGTGTGCTCGTCCTTCGGTCGGTTCGGACTTCGTTTATAACGTCCGTGATCTCAGGGCGGGTCCCGTTGCCTATTTATGACGCGGGCTAGACTTTTGGTCGGTTTCCAACGGCTGTCGTTGCCCATCCCTGAGTTTTGGGATTTTGTCACCTCGGCCATGATTTCAGGCCTGTCGTCCTGCGATCCGACGCGTGGACGACGCGGTGAGCTTCCCGTTTCAAGACGTGGGCCATTTGCGGGCCCCTCGTCCTGGGGACATCGTCGGCCATACCTGAGCGTTTCACTTCTAGGCTTTCGGGGCCAGGACGATGTGCTCTCTCAGCTAGGCCTGAGCCCTTCGCTGATACAAAATACAATGGAGCGCCTGATCTTGTCGATCGTAGGCTGCAAATGCAAGGTGCCACGTCGGCCATGCCTGAGCCTTTCGCTCTAAGGTGGCCGATGAGGGCACCTGCTAATGTTTTACTTTAAATTCCAAAGAAAAATCAAGAACATGATTTTTTTCATAGGTGGCTCGAGGCCGAGGGTGGCGTTCAATCAGTAACCCGTTAAGGGGTGAGGGCTTCGCCGTCTGCACCTCCTTCGGATTACTGATAAAACTTCACCAAATGGTGTACATTCCACGTTCGTGGTACATTGGACTCATTCGGGCGTTTAAGCTTGTAGGTGCCGGGTTTGACCACGGCACTGACGATGTAGGGCCCTTCGTACTTCAATGCTAGCTTGCCACCCTCTGTCGGCTGGCTTGCTTCCCTTCGGCGGAGGACATAGTCCCCCACCTGAAATTCCCGGGAACGTACCTTGGCGTCATAGTATGATTTTACTTGGCGCCGGTAGTTCTCTGCTCGGACGTAAGCTTGCTCACGCCTCTCGTCGACCAAGTGTAGGTCAATCTTCATGTTTTCTTCGTTGGCGTCAGGCTCGTATTGCTCCACCCGCCGGCTGGGGATGGCAACTTCTGTGGGTGCCTTTGCCTCAAAGCCGTAGCACAGGGCGAAAGGCGTTTCACCTGTCGCCCTCCTCGGCGTGGTTCTATAGCACCACAGGATATTGGGGAGCTCGTCGACCCAACTACCTCCTGCGGCCTGGAGTTTCTTCTTCAGCCCTTCCATGATTGTCCTGTTGGCGTTCTCGACCTGCCCGTTGCCCTGAGGGTAGGCGACGGAGGAGAAACGATGCTTCACCCCAAACTCCCGGAGGAGCTCCTGAAAAGGGGCTGCCTCGAATTGGGCGCCGTTGTCTGATATAATCTCCTGGGGGACGCCGAAGCGTGTGATGATGTTCTTGTAAACAAATTTTTGGCATCTGGCCCCCGTGATGCTGGCCAGGGGTTCCGCCTCGACCCACTTGGTGAAGTAGTCGACGGCGACGATGATGTAGCGGTTGTTCCCGGCGGCTCTGGGCAGGGGGCCGACCAGGTCAATCCCCCATCTAGAGAATGGAATTGCGGTGCTGACGGGGGCGTAGTTGACGGCTGGCCGACCAGGGGCCTTCTGGAGCACCTGGCATGTGGTACACTTCCTAGCCAGGTCCGCACAGTCTCGCGCCATCGTCGGCCAGAAGAAGCCCTGGACGACGAGACGTTGGGACATGCTGAAGGGGCCCTGGTGCGAGGAGCAGACGCCACAATGAACTTCTTCCATGGCCATGTCGGCCTCATCCTGGTGCAGGCATCGGAGGAGAGTGCCATTATAGGATTGTTTGTAGAGTTTGTCATCTTCAATGGTGTAGCTTGGGGCCCTAAGTTTGGCAAGTTTGGCCCTCTCCTCGTCCGGGGGTAGCTCCCCCGTGGTGATGAAGGTGACGATGTCAGAGATCCAGTCCTCTGGTCGCTGTTGGATGCATAAGATGGGGCTGGCATGAATGCTAGACATGCTCAGCTCTTCGATGTTGGCTATCCTGGAGATGTGCTCTGGAGTGTCTGAGCTGAGCTTGGAGAGGGTGTCGGCTTCGGCGTTCTCGGCCCTTGGGATCTGAGTGATCTCGTGGGTTTCAAACGCTTTCAGTAACTCCTCTGCTGCCTGTTTGTACTGTCGCATCCGTCCCTCCTTTGCTTCGTACAATCCCTCCACCTGGCCCACTACCAGTTTGGAGTCGCACTTGATTTTGAGGTGCTTGGCCTTGAGGCCGGCGGCGAGTCTGAGACCGCTGAGGAGGGCCTCATCCTCGGCTTCGTTGTTGGATACCCTGAAGTTGAAGCGGATGGCATAGTAAGCTCTGAATCCTTCAGGGGATATGAGGACGACGCCGCCACCGCATGATTTCGCGGTCGACGAGCCGTCAGTGAATAGGATCCATGTATCGTCCGGCTCCGGCCCGGGGTTGGCGACGGCCGTCTCCCTTGCTGTGCATTCAGTGACGAAGTCGGCCAAGGCTTGCCCTTTGATAGATGGCCTTGGCTTGATCTCAATTTGAAATTGGCTGAGGAATATTGCCCATTTCACCATCCTAGAGGAGCTGGTGGGACTCCTCATGAGTGCGCCGAGAGGCTGCTGGGTCAGCACATGGACGGCATGGGCCTGGAACTAGTGTCCCAGCTTCTTCACCGTATGGACGATGGCCAGCACCGTCTTCTCAATGGGGGAGTACCTGAGCTCGGCCTCCCTGAGTGTCTTGCTGATGTAGAAGATGGCCTTTTGCACCCCTTCGTCCTCACGGATGAGCACGGAGCTGATGGCCGACGTGCTCCCCCCTAAGTACAAGAAGAGGGTTTCGCCGGCTTTGGGCTTGGAGAGCACGGGCGGGGATGATAGGTACCTCTTCAATTCTTCGAACGCTTCCTGGCACTCCGTCGTCCATTTGAAGCTGTTGGCTTTACGCATGATCTGAAAAAAGGGAGTGCCCTCTCGGCTGACCTGGAGAGGAACCGGTTCAAGGCCGCCAGGCGCCCCATCAGTCGTTGTACTTCCTTGACGTTGCGGGGCGGCTCCATGTTGATGATAGCCTGTGTCTTCTCCGGGTTTATCTCGATGCCTCTCCGACTGACCATGTAGCCGAGGAACTTGCCGCCCTGGACGCCGAAGGCGCACTTCTTGGGGTTGAGGCGGAGCCTGAACTCCTTCATGATTTCAAAGATTTCCCTGAGGTCGTCGGCGTGGGAGGAGGCCTGCCTGCTCTTGACGATCATATCGTCGACGTACGCCTCCATCGTCCGGCCAAGGACCGCCCTGAAGATCTTGGCCACCATCCTAGTATAGGTGGCGCCGGAGGTTTTGAGTCTGAAGGCCACGACGAGGTAGCAGATTCCCTCTGGGGTCATGAATGTCGTCTTCTCAGCGTCATCTTCATGCATGGAGATTTGGTGGTACCCTCTGAAAGCGTCAAGGAACGACATCAACTCGCACCCCGCCGTCTCGTCCACCAGCTGATCAATGTTGGGGAGATGGAACGGGTCCATGGGGCACGCCTTGTTCAGGTCAGCGTAATCAACACACATCCTGAATGTTGGCGGTTTCTGGGCGAGGACGACGTAGGCCAACCACATCGGGTACTTCACCTCTTTAATGTGTTTGATTGAGAGGAGCATGGCGACCTCCCCTTTGACGAAGTCCCGCCTGTCGGCGGACAAGTAGCGCCGCTTCTGTTTGATGGGCGTGG